TAAAGCTCCTTCACACGAGAACTGATTTTGTGAAATTCGTAATTCAATAAGACTTAAGATCATTTTTTATAAAGAACATGAAAATTCGGATCCCTTTCAGCGGATTTACACCTCAAAATAGTTCAGTCATATCGCTAGTTTGAGTGAACAAACTAACCACATCAAAACTAACCATTATTATGTTTTCCAGTTTTTTCCTTTAAAAATATCCACTGAATTAAATAGTGAACGCTACAATATTTGTAAACGTAAAGAAAACCACAGAGGCCAGTGGAGAGGAACACACTATTACCACTACGTATTATAGTTCCTAACAAGTGGTAACTAGGTATTGTAGGTCTTAACAAGTGGTAACTACATACTGTAGCTGTTAACAAGTGGTAACTAGGTACTCTAGTTCTTAACAAGTGGTAACTAGGTTCTGTAGCTGTTAACAAGTGGTAACTAGGTACAGTGGACCCCCGGTATTTGATGGCATCGGTATTCGATAAATCCGGTATTCGATACATTTTATCGCAAAAGATTTTCCTCGGTATTCGATTGAAAACCCGGTATTCGATACGATTTGTACGAGACGTGTCCACGTGTGGCCTGAACTGCCCCTTGTGTGCCAGTGTTTACAAGCCAGCCAGTGTGCGCGCATCTAAGGATACATTCAGTACATTCCATATTATCACTGTGTTTGGTGCTTGTTTCTGCAAAGTAAGTCACCCTGGGCCCCAAGAAAGCTTCTAGTGCCAACCCTTCAAGAAAAAAGTCGCTAATGACTTATGAAATGAAGAAAGAGATAATTGCAAAGTACGAAAGTGGAGTGCGTGTGTCGGAGCTGGTTAGGTTGTATAATAAACCCCAATCAACCATCTCTACTATAGTGACCAGGAAAACGGCAATCAAGGAAGCTGTTCTTGCAAAAGGTGCAACTGTGATTACGAAACAGCGACTGCAAGTGTTAGAAAATGCTGAGAGATTGTTATTGGTGTGGATAAATGAAAAACAGATAGCAGGAGATAGCATCTCTCAAGCGATCATTTGTGAAAAGGCTAGGCAGTTGCATGACGATTTGGTAAAGAAATTGCCTGCAAATAGTGGTGATGTGAGTGAATTTAAGGCCAGCAAAGGTTGGTTTGAAAGATTTAAGAATCGTAGTGGCATACATAATGTGATTAGGCATGGTGAGGCTGCCAGTTCAGACCAAAAAGCAGCTGAAAAATATGTGAAGGAATTCAAGGATTACATAGACAGTGAAGGACTGAAACCTGAACAAGAGTTTAATTGCAACGAAACAGGCCTGTTTTGGAAGAAATTGCCAAGCAGGACCTACATTACTCAGGAGGAAAAGGCACTCCCAGGACATAAGCCTATGAAAGACAGGCTTACTCTGTTGATGTGTGCCAATGCTAGTGGTGATTGCAAAGTGAAGCCTTTATTGGTGTATCACTCTGAAACTCCCAGAGTGTTCAGGAAAAACAATGTCCTCAAGGCTAATTTGTGTGTGCTGTGGAGGGCAAACAGTAAGGCATGGGTCACTAGGGACTTTTTCTATGACTGGTTTTACACCATGCATTTGCCCCCACTGTGAAAAATTACCTAACTGAAAAGAAATTAGACCTTAAGTGCCTCTTGGTATTAGACAATGCCTCTGGTCATCCTACAGACTTGTCAGAGCGACTTTCTGGGGACATGAGCTTCATTAAGGTCAAGTTTTTGCCTCCTAATACCACTCCTCTCCTGCAGCGCATGGACCAGCAGGTCATTTCCAACTTCAAGAAACTGTACACAAAAGCTATGTTTCAAAAGTGCTTTGTAGTGACCACAAAAACTCAACTGGCTCTAAAAGAGTTTTGGAAGGATCACTTTAATATCCTCAATTGTATAAACCTGATAGGTACGGCTTGGGAGGGAGTGACTAAGAGGACCTTGAACTCTGCTTGGAAAAAACTGTGTCCAGAATGTGTAGACAAAAGGGATTTTGAAGGATTTGAGGCTAACCCTGAGAATCCTATGCCAGTTGAGGAATCCATTGTGGCATTGGGGAAGTCCTTGGGGTTGGAGGTTAGTGGGGAGGATGTGGGGAAAAGTTGGTGGAGGAGGACAGTGAAGAACTAACCACTGATGAGCTGATAGATCATCTTGAACAGCAAGAGGGCAGACCTGAGGAAACTGCTTTGGAGGAGGGGATAGAGAAATTGAAGAAGTTGCCTACTTCAAAGATTAAGGAAATGTGTGCAATGTGGCTTAAAGTGCAAACCTTTTTTGATGACAATCACCCTAACACAGCTATTGCAAGCCGTGCTGGTGACTATTACACTAACATTGTTGTGAAACACTTTAGGGATGTCATAAAGGAACGGGAGGTACAGGCCACTATGGACAGATATGTTGTGCGACAGAAATCCAGTAACTCTGAAGCTGGTCCTAGTGGCATTAAAAGAAGAAGGGAAGTAACCCCGGAAAAGGACTTGCTACCTCAAGTCCTAATGGAAGGGGATTCCCCTTCTAAACACTTAACACCTCTCCCCTCCTCCCATCCCATCAATCATCACCAAATCTTCATTAAAGGTAAGTGTCAATTATTTTATTATTATTCTATTGCATTAAACTTAATATTCCATGTAGTAAAATTTTTTTTTTCATACTTTTGGGTGTCTTGCACGGATTAATTTGATTTCCATTATTTCTTATGAGGAAAATTGATTCGGTTTTCGATATTATCGGTATTCGATGAGCTCTCAGGAACGGATTAATATCGAATGCCGGGGGTCCACTGTACTGTAGTTTGTAACAAGTGGTAACTAGGATCTTAACAAATGGTAACTAGGTACTGTAGATCTTAACAAGTGGTAACTAGGTACTGTAGGTCTTAACAAGTGGTAACTAGGTACTGTAGGTCTCAACAAGTGGTAACTAGGTATCCCTCGAGTGGGAATTACGGACCTTTAAGTGGTTTCTGATTTTTTATTTTATGTTACTTCCAAAAATGTCATGTGACACCAGAGTCAGGATGACCACGGAGGACAAAGGTAACTGGTAGTGTCATCATACCTGGAGTATACCTGGAGAGGGTTACAGGGGGATCAACGCCCCCACAGCTCAGTCAGAAACCAGGCCTCGTGGTGGATCAGGGTCTAATCAACCAGGCAGTTATTGCTGGCTTGACACAAAGTGACATACGACCCACAGCCCGGCTGGTCAGGTACTGACTTCAGGTGCCTGTCCAGTGCCATCTTGAAGACAGCCAAGGGTCTGTTGGTAATCCCCCTTATGTATGCTGGGAGGCAGTTGAATAGCCTTGGACCCCTGACACTTATTGTGTTGTCTTTTATTGTGCTAGTGGCACCCCTGCTTTTCATTGGGGGGATGTTGCATTGTCTGCCGAGTCTTTTGTTTTCACAGGGAGTGATTTTCGTGTGCAAGTTTGGTACTAATCCCTCTAGCCTTTTCCAAGTGTTTATTATCATGTATATCTCTCCTGCATTCCAGGGAATACAAATCAAGAGACTTCAACCATTCCCAGTAATTTAGGTGCCTTATACTTGCGTGTGCCATGAAAGTTCTTTGTACACTCTCCAGGTCAGCAATTTTGACTGCCTTGAAGGGGGCAGCTAGGGTAAAGCAGTATTCCAGCCCAGAGAGAACAAGTGATTTGAAGAGAATCATCATGGGCTTGGCATCCCTAGTTTTGAAGGTTCTCATTACCCATCTTATCATTTTCCTAGCAGATGCGGTAGATACATTGTTGTTGTTTTTGAAGGTGAGATCGTCTGACATTATCACTCCCAGGTCCTTAACATTACTTTTTCGCTCTGTTGTATGGTTAGAAATTGGTGTATACCCTGATAGAGTTTTAATTTCCTCAAGTTTTCCATATCTGAGTAGTTGAAATTTCTCTTAATTGAACTTCATATTGTTTTGAGTGGCCCATTTGATGATTTGGTTGATATCCGCTTGGAATCTTGCAGTGTCTTCAATGGATGTCACTGTCATGGCAATTTGGGTGTCATCCGCAAAGGAAGACACGAAGCTATGGCTTACATCTCTGTCTATGTCAGATATGAGGATGAGGAATAGAATGGGAGAGAGCACTGTGCCTTGTGGAACAGAGCTTTTCACCGTAGCTGCCTCAGACTTTACTCTGTTTACTATTACTCTTTGTGTTCTATTTGTCAGGAAGTTATGGATCCATCTTCCAACTTTTCCTGTTATTCCTCTATCACTCATTTTGTATGCTATTACACCATGGTCACACTTGTCAAAAGCTTTTGCAAAGTCTGTGTATACTACATCTGTATTTTATTTATCCTCTCCAGCATCCAGGACCTTGTCATAGTGGTCCAGTAGCTGAGACTGGCAGGAGTGACCTGCTCTAAACCCATGTTGCCCTGGGTTGTGTAATTGATGGGTATCTAGGTGGTTGGCGATCTTGCTTCTTAAAACCCTTTCGAAGATTTTTATATGGGATGTTAGTGCTATCGGTCTGTAGTTCTTTGCAATTGCTGTACTGCCTCCTTTGTAGAGTGGGGCTATGTCTGTTGTTTTTAGTGAGTGTGGGATGACCCCTGTGTTCCATGCTCCCTCTCCATAGAATGCCAAAGGCATGTGACAGGGGCTTCATGTAGAGGATACTGTATAGGATGGTCAACTCCATTTGACTACCTACACTGGTTAATACTTAAAATACTTATTTAGAATGAAATGTAAAAAAGAATACTTTTTGTTGACATTAGGTGAGGCCAGATTGAATTCTTAAACATGATTCCTCTGAGTTGGCATGATTCCCTATTGAACTGTTTATATAATGAGTTAAGTCCAATGAAAAACAACAAGGAATGCATCCATACTAGGAAACTGATAATTGGAAACACAATATTTTTGTCATTTCATAGCTGAAGTGCTGGTAAGGTAAGTTAATACTCTACTGAAAATTCCTCATCATTATTAAATGAAATGCATAATTTATTCCTTAGAGCAAAGGTGGTTTTAAATGTGAATATTTCCTGCAGGATTCCATGAAGCCATAGGAGACGTATTAGCCTTGAGTGTATCTACACCGAAGCATCTTCATAAGATTGGCTTGCTTAAAGAAGTTCGGAATGATCATGAGGAGGACATCAACTACCTTTTGCGCATAGCACTTGAAAAAGTAGCTTTTCTGCCTTTTGGATACCTGGTAGATTTATGGCGATGGGATGTGTTTAGTAACAAAATTCATGAGGATGACTGGAACTGCGCCTGGTGGGATCTTAGGTAAGATGTATTATTTTTTGATGTTTGAAAGGAATGCATGTGATATTACAGTACATTGGACCCCCGGATATCCTAGTTGTCAGATTTTGTAATATTCGGTAATCGTAACGTTTTTTCATCAAAATATTGGCTCAGCGATCGTCATTTACTTTGGTAATAGTTGTTCATCCCAAACGTGTATGTGCGGCCCCAAGGGACCCCGAGCAGCCCCACACACCATCCCACACCATTCATAGTCAATCCGCTATTGTTTATCAGTGAGTGACTGTCGCCCCACTCGTTCATACGATACATTTCCTAATACTGTATTCCATTTTTTTTTGTGCTTGCAACTACTGAATAAGCCACCATGGGCCCAAAGAAAGCTTCTAGTGCCAGCCCTTTGGTAAAGAAGGTGAAAACACTATAGAATTCAAGAAAGACATCATTGCAAAATATGAAAGTGGAGTATATGTGGCAGAGCTTACCAGGTTGCATAACGAACCCCATACAACCATCGCTTCTATCGTGGCCAAGAAAAAGGCAATCAAGGAAGCTGTTTTTGTGAAAGGTGCAAATATGCTTACAAAACAAGAGATCGCAACTACTGGAAGATGTGGAAACTTTGTTATTGGTGTAGATCAATGAGAAACAATTATCAAGAGATAGTGTTATGCAGTTGATAATTTGTGAAAAGGCAAGGCTGTTACACAATGATCTCGTAAAGAAAGTGCCTGGAACTAGTGCTGATGTTAGTGAATTTAAGGCCAGCGAAGGGTGATTTGAGAGATTTAAAAGGTGTCGTGGCATACACAGTGTGGTAAGGCATGGTGAGGCTGCAAGTTCTGACAAATATTCAGCTGAAAAATATGTCAGGAATTCAAGGGGTACATAGAGGGTGAACAATTCAAACCCCAACAAGTGTTCAGTTATGATGAAACAGGCCTCTTTTGGAAGAAAATGCCAAAGAGGACCTTATATCATGCAGGAAGAAAAGGCATTCCCTGGACAAAAGCCTATGAAAGACAGACCACCTCTTATGTTCAGTAGTAATACTAGTGGGGATTTCAAAGTGAAGTCTTTACTGGTGTATCACTCTGAAAATCCCAGAGTGTTCAAGAAAAACAGTGTTGTCAAGAGTCATGAGGGAGATTCTCCTTGACTAGTTCAATAAAATGTTTGGCCCTAGTGTGAAGAAATACAGTGGTACCTCGGGATACGAACATCTCAAAACTCGAACAGTTGTGTTTATGTACGTGTTTTTGTAAGTGTTTTTTTTGGGGTCTGAAACGGATTAATCTAATTTACATTATTCCTTATGGGAGCAAATTTGTTCGGTATCGACACGCAAACAGGTTTCTGGAACGAATTAAGTTCGTATCCCGAGGTACCACTGTACCTCCTGGAAAATTAATTGAAACTCAAGTGCCTCCTGGTACTAGACAGTGCTCCTGCTCATCCTCCAGACTTGGATGAGCAAATTGTGGAGGAGTTTCGTTTCATTACGGTGAAGTTCTTGCCCCCTAATACCACTCCTCTCCTCCAGCCCAAGGACCAGCAGGTCATTTCAAACTTTAAAAAACTCTACACCAAAACAATGTTTCAAAGGTGCTTTAATAAAAGCTCGGACTCTGAATTGACAATAAGAGAGGTATGGAAAGATCACTTCAGTATCCTCCATTGCATCAACCTTATAGGTAAGGCTTGGGAGGGAGTGAATTCCAGGACTCTGACCTCTGCTTGGAGAAAATTATGGCCAGAATGTGTCCAAGAGAGGGATTCTGTAGGGTTTAGGGCTGACCCTGTTGAGCCTATGGCAGTTGTGGAAAGTATTGTGGCATTTGGGAATTCCATGGGGTTGGAGGTGAGTATCGAGGATGTGGAAGAGTTGGTGGAGGACTACAGAGAAGAGCTAACCACTGAATAGCTGCAAGACATTCATCTGCAACAGCAATAGACCACAGCTCAGGAAATTGCTTCAGAGGAGGAGGAAGAGAGATGGAGGAAGGTGCCTTCTTCAAAGATTAAGGACATTTGTGCAAAATGGACTGAAGTGCAAACATTTATTGATGAACATCACCCTGACAAAACCGTGTTGGCAACATGTACAGTGACAATGTCGTGTCCCATTTTAGGGAAATTTTAAAGAAACACCAGAAACAGAGCTCTCCGGAACAATTTTTTGAGCAACAGGGGTCCAGTGATTCTCAAGCTGGTCCTAGTGGCATTAAAAAACAAAGAAGGGAAGTAACCTCAGAAAAGGACTTGGTACCTGAAGTCTTTATGGAAGGGCATTCCCCTTCCAAACAATAGTAACTCCTCCATCCTCTCCTCCTGTCTTCCATACATCAACAAGTCTTCAATAAAGGTAAGTGTCATGTTATTACTGTTTATTCTTCATGTCTCATTGTTTTCTGTGTAGGTAAATGTATATCTCATGTAAAAACTTACTTTTTTTTTAAAACTTTTTGGTGTCTGGAACGGATTAATTGGATTTACAATATTTCTCATGCGGAAAATGAATTCAGATATCGTCAAATTCGGTTTTAGTCACTCTCTCAGGAACAGATTAATTACGATAACTGAGGGTCCACTGTATGATGGATTTTGTTTATACTTATAAAAGATGTTTTTTTTTTCCATTTATGGTAAATGTATCATAACCTAGTGACTCCTTTGGTCAGTACCAAACCCGGTCACAATCTCACCCCATTCACCTTATTACACCAAGTTTTGTGTCTTAATCAAAAAAAACTGAATCACTACCTGGTATTCAATCCTGAATGGCTGATGACTTTCTGTCTGTGCCACCAAACCTTGAGGTAGAAAAGGATTTGCCATTCTTCAGAACTGTTTTTTCTGTGGTGTCTCTTTTGAAACCCACTAAGAACTCTTCCACTGCTCAAATATCGCTGAATTGGTGAACAGAGTCTGGAGTCCAGTAACTATGTCACAGCCAAAAAATGAGCAATATCCGAGCAACTCGTAATAATGTAAGCCCTGAGAAAAGTCTTGATTCAACAGGTAGGGACCAGCGGAATCTAGTTACTGTCCTATGCCGGCTTAAAAGTCACAAATGGCATGGTCTAGAGATAATTCTTAGATTTATACATTTACAAATACTGCCACGTTACACTGACATTATTCACTAAAGAATTTTAATGGATGGCTCAAAATGGACCCATGGCCCAGAGGGACTTCAACGGAATGTATTGATAATACCAGTCACGGCAGACCAGAAGATCTGAGGTTACATCCCAAGGTTGGAAGGATAATTAAACTGAATTCCTAACTAAGCCCTGGCAATACAAGGAAGAAATATAGATTAAAAAATCATTCTTCACAATGACCAATGTTGATGTTCAGCAAAGGCGACCTTCCATACTAAAGACAAACAGAACATAATTCTTATGGTTTAATACTACCATTTGAATAAATAATTTTTTTTTGTTTGTTTGAAAATAACAAGCTGTTGGAGTGTGAGCAAGGTAATGTTTTATAAGGGGATTTAGCGAAATTGGTTAGCCGAACGTGAGTCCTGGAGGTGGAAAGTACGGTGCCTGCACTCTGAAGAAGCGGTTTTGGGATATTTACTGTTTGGAGGCACACTTGAACTGTCGTATCTGCGCTCCTCTGACAAGACAGTGAAAGTGTAAGTGATGGTAAAAGTGTTACTTTTTCGGGTCACCCTTCCTCATTGGGAGACAGTTAGTGTATTAAAATATATAAAAATAATCGGTACTTAAGGATTCAGGTGTGCAGATTAACTTACTGGTTAGTTGTATTCCTTCGACGATCATGGCAAACGGAACCTGGAGACTAAGCAGAATTACAGTGTGATTCATAATGTAGGAGCAGAATGAGAGAACACTCTTTCCTACTTGGATGTAGAAAGACGAGACGAATTGTTGTGACAGCAGCAACTAGTACTTGAATACCTACACAACGAGGGAGGTGAACCTGTGGGAATTCTACAACTCGTAAAGCCAACTGCTAGCTGATGGAGGGTACGGGCACTCTTCTTTCTCAAAAGTCTAAGCAACGAGTGAAAAGGACACTAGGTCTATCCTGCCCGACTCTCACATACATCAGATTGCAGGGGCAGAAGGAAAGTGCCCAGTCGTGTTGTCCATGAAATTGCTGGAATTAAAACAGTCTTCTGAGATACATTACATGAGCAATTCGACTAAGATGAGAATGATGGAATATAAAGCAGTATTGTCTAGAATCACCTCCAGGACTATTGTAATATACAGTGGACCCTCAACTAACGCCTTTAATCCGTTTCAGAGAGCTAGCCTTTAGTAGAATTAGCCGTTGGCTGAATTAATTTTCTCCATAAGAAGTAATGGAAATCCAGTTAATCTGTTTCAGACAGCCAAAAGTATTAACAAAAAATATTTTTTTTAAAGATTAAAAATAAACATACAGAAAACAATGACAAATAAATATAAAGCACTAATAAAATGGATAAATGAATCTAGAAATCTATACAGATATTGACGAATGTTTTAATAATTTTCTAAAAAAGACCCAATACCTTTATAACAAGCACTGCCCTAAAAAAACTAAACAGATGACAGCTAAGAGACTGAACAGTCCCTGGCTAACACCCAGCATTCTCAAATCCATAAATACAAAACACCGATATGAAAAACAGTACAGAATGGGTCACATAACCAGAGACCAAACAAAACGTTACTCGTCAATCCTAACCAGCCTGATAAGAAGGGCAAAAAAATTGTAAATTTGAGAACAGATTATCCAACTTACGAGGTGATATAAAAAAGACCTGGAAGACCCTATCAGAATTTTTGGGACAAAAAAGATATCACGACATAGCGAAATAAAATTAGCAAAATCGGATGAACCCCAACTCCCACCAACAGAAACAGCAAACAGACTCAATGATTTCTTCTCCACTATAGGTCAAAACCTTGCCAATAAAATCCCAAGCTCAGATACCCCACCAAATGACTACCTCACTGGCAACTACCCGAACACACTGTTCCTAGCTCCGA